TCCATCCATCCATCCATGCAATCACCCATCCATCTATCCACCTATCCATCCATCTATCCATGCAATCACCCATCCATCCATCCATCCATGCAATCGCCCGTCCATCCATCCACCCATCCATCCATCCATCCATGCAATCACCCATCCATCCACCCATCCATCCATCCATCCTTCCATCCATCCATGCAATCACCCATCCATCTATCCATCCACCCACCTACCCATCCATCCACCCATCCATCTATCCACCCATCCATCCATCCATCCACCCACCCATCCATCCACCCATCCATGCAATCACTCATCCATTCATCCACCCATCCACCCACTCGGCCACCCATCCATTGACCCATCCATGCAATCACCCATCCATCCATCCATCCACCCATCCATGCAATCACCCATCCATTCATCCATCGTGCAAACATCAATTGAGCCTGTAATCATTGATGACTGTTGGGTATAGGAGTCACTGTAAATCCACAGGTTCTTGATCATGAAGGGGGTTTATGTACACAGAGGAGGCTTTGTGGTAAATAAGCATGGGACATGCATGTTCTCTACTCAGAAAAGTGAGCGAGCAGAGAGTAGGGAATGGAAGCCTCATGCTGAGAGGAGGACCTACGCGTGTGCTGGTCTCCTTCCCACCCAGGGTCTTTGCTGTGAGAGCTCATTTCCCAGAAAACATGAAGTGGTGCATCAGAGATGCACAGGGTCCACATGAAGCTGGCATGTTCCTGCTGTGTGAGCCCGAGCATCTTTGCCCCTGTGTGGCATGCCCCCATGGCTGCGTGCATCTGGGCTGACATGACTGGGGCTCTGCGTGCTGAGGCGCACACAGTGCAGGGAGCAAGGAGGCCCCGGGCAGGGTGTGGGTCTGAGGAATGAGCAGAGGCAGAGTTGGAGGGAGGTGGCCGGATGGTCCTTTCTCACGGTGGGTGTGGGGTGTGCAGAACTGCCTAACACCACTGGGCCCGTTGTGTTGTCAGGAACAAGAAGGCTCACAGCAGCTGGAACATGGGCGCCATCCTGGAAGGGGATCGCGGTGGCTTTGCCTGTTGTGGGCCCAAGGAGCGGTTTTCCAAGGAGATGATCCTGAAGGCTGAGGAAGGGGACCACGATTGGATTCAGGGGATCCTGAGGGACAACTTTGTCAGTGCCGATGTGGCCGACTCCAAGGGCTACACTGCGCTGGCTGCAGCCGCCGTAAGCCCTGCCCCGCCCCGCAGGTGCCTGTAGGGTGCCGTGGGGTCGGGGAGCGAGGTCCGAGGGGGGCTGATGTGTCAGAAATCCCCTCACCTGGGTGTGATGTGCGAGGCCAAATGGGAGTGGAGGGCTGGGGGCAGGTCACCTCTCCGTTCCTCTGTCCCGTGCTCGACCTCGTCCCCGCGCCATGCTCGGGTGTGAGCGCCAGTGCCTCGCCCTGTTGTGGGTGGCCTTGCCAGGGACAGCAGGACGCCAGGCAACACTTTCCGCCCCGTTGTGGAGGGCCAGGCACATCTTGGCGATTCTGGCTTTGTTTTCCTCCAGGTTCATTGTCACTGTGACATTGTCAACCTTCTGCTGGACTTCGGGGCTGACGTGAACAAGTGCACGGACAAGGGCCTCACGGCACTGAGCATGTGCTTCCTCCTCTACTACCCGCCCAGGGCTTTCAAGCCCAATGTCGCTGAGAGGACCGAGCCTGAGCCCCAGGTCAGCACTGGGTGGCCACCGCACCACCCACCGTCCACTATTGGTCTCTCTGTCTCTCTGTCCAAGCGTCCACCAGCCACTGCCCTCCTGTGTGGACCAGGCTCATGCAGAGCAAAGTATGGGACAAGGCCAGCAGGGAGGGTGCAGGGAGGATGGAGCCTGGGTGCCTCCCACGGAGGCAGAGGGACGAGTGTTCCCCACGAGCCACGTGCACAGCAGCTGGGGGCCGAGCCTGCCTGTGCCACGCTGTCAGGAGAGGGCGCTGTTGGGGGAGGGAAGGTACCTGCATTTCCAACAATGTCCTGGTGGCGCTGACGCTGCTGGCTCGGGGACCACGCTTCTGGGACTGTGGCTCAAAACGGAAACACAGCAAGAGACGTGCCATCTGGCAGAAATAAAATGTATGATTTAAATTTTTTGAGTAGCTGCATTAAAAGAAAGTAGAACAGGTGAGATTAATTTTAATAGCCTAATGTATCCGAAATCGGATCATTTCAGCGCGGCCTTTCCTGGGTCTTCCCTTCACACACCGCGCACCTCGGTTTTGGACAGGCCACGTTCGTGCGCTCGGCAGCCACGTGCAAGGTCACACAGCCCTGCTGTGGCCGGTTTGATGCAGGTTTCTATGCAGTGACCTCGCAGGTGTCTCCTTTTGCCTTCGGGGGTTTGTGGGAGGTGCCCTCGCCACGGCTCTGTCTTCTCAGTCTTGGTGCTTTGAAGACCATCCTAGGCCACGCCTGTCCTTGCTGAAGAAGGTTGTCGAATGGGGTTGACACTCTAATTTCTTCTTTCTTCTAATGACGCTCTTTTGGTACTTTCCAAAGGAACCCTCAAAACCCCTGGCCTTTCCAAACCTTCTGTTCTCCGTTGCGGAAACGAACACGGAGTGTCCCCGCTGCGAGGAGGGCGGCGGCGAGCTGAAGCTGGCCTCGGGCAGCGAGGAGGGCAGCCTCTCCGCAGGCGCTGGGCGCTCCCGGGAGTCCGCCGACCTGAAGAGCAGCTCTCTGACCTGGGACTCGCTGTCAGCGAGGGGCAGCGTCAGCGACGTGGAGAAGGGGCCCGAGGACACGTCGGGAAACACAGACAAGTGCACTCTGTGCAGCAACGAGACGCGCTTCGAGTCCGACGTCTGTGTGCGCAGCCTGTCCATCCAGCTCTCACAGAGCCTGCTGGAGAAGAGCGCGCAGGCCCACAGCATGCTGCCAGGCCCCGCCAGCCCCGACAAGGGGACCATGAGGAGAATGGCGCTGTCCATGGTCGAGTAAGTCACCGCCACGCAGGCTGGCGGGGGCGGAGGGTCGTGTTTAGGGTGAAGCATATGCTCAGGAGGTGATGTTTCTGGAGATGTGTCCGATGTTTGTGTGTCCACCGGGTCCGCAGCCCCCGCCCCCCACTCTGACCCCCGCTCTGACCGAGCCTGCCGGGAGTGCCAGCACTGCCAGGGGCGGGTCCACTCAGCGCTGTCCTGGCCCCGGTGTAGCCTCTGACGCTGGCTGTCCGGTGTCTCTACGGGAGCCCTGGGTGGCCAGCACAGGGGAGTCCTGGCCATGGTGCGTGTGGCGCCGACTGGCGCTGCCCGCCTCCCCCGTCCACGCTATCTAGACCAGTGGGTCTCAACAAGAGGTTCGAGCACCCTGGGGGCCAAGACCCTTTCAGAGAGTCTGCCAGGTCGCAACAATTCTCATAACAAACCCAAGACGTCAGTAGCCTCTGCGCTCAGCCGGCGTCGCTGATGGTGCAGAGACAAGGGCACAAAGGTGCGGCCAGCACCGCATCGGGCGGGCATCACCTTCCTTCGCAGGAGGGTGCTGGTTTCACTCGAGTGCTCTTGGGGAAGCAGTAAAAGTGACTAATTTTGTTAAATCTCGACGCTCTAATATTCCGCATGACGAGAGATGGGAAGGACGTCTGAACCGCACCTGCCGGAAACCAGAGCGTGAGGGTTCCCCCAAAGGAGCCCTGCCATGGGGCCGGGTGGCAACACCATTGGCCGCCTTTCCTCCTGGGATGCCATTTTTGATCAGAAGAAAGACTGACAGGCGCACCACGGCTGCTGTCTTCCGGATGTAGCCCATTCCTTTACGGAACCCATCCGGCAATGTCCGTTGCTTTCACATTTGCCTTTTCAAGTGAAAATTTGCATTTTGGACACTGCATCCATCAAGCCCTTCACTGCTTCCTTTCACCCGAGTCTTGGACGTTTAGAGACTTTGCGAGACGATGTCATTGAGTGATTTTACAAGGCTGTCTGACGACGTGCGCCAGCGCTGGGAGATCTGCGTGTATCTGTGAGCTCGTTTTTCCCACGCTGTTCCCGCATGACAAGTTCCGATATGGAGAATGGTGCTGGGGTGGAGACGCTCACAGGGAGAGGGAGACCAGTGGGTCTCAGTGTGGCCACGTGCAGACGCTGCCTGATGTGGTTCCAGGTTCCACGCTGCAGCCAGCTGAACCACCGCTAGCCCGGTTTCCACCCATGTCAAACAGGACCGTCCACAATTACCTGAAAAGACCATCAACATGATCCTCCTTTTCCCAGCCACGTATCTGTGGGAGGTGAGATTGTTCTTGTCTCCGTAACCAAAGCAACGCATCGCAACAGACGAGCCCCGGAGCGGGGACAATCCGCCACTTTCTCTCAAGCCGGACACGAAAGGCTTGCGAACATGTAAAATGCTGCCTCCCTTTTCACTGATCGTTTTTGTTTTATAAAATATAATAACTTTGCATTGAAATGTTGTACGCATTGACGTGCAACAGGTTTGGTATCGTTAGTTTTTAAGTGGTAAGCATTTAAGAATTTCTCAGTTTTAAAAATCTGGAACATGGCATCACCGATACAGAATCCACACGCACAGAAGCTCTGTGTGCTCAGAGCAGAAAGGGTCCCGGGAACGGGGGTTTGAAAGCCGCTGCGCTAGGCGGCCCCGCTCTCCCCGCTGCCTCCCTCCCCGCCAGTTCTGCGCTGGCCGTGGGGTCATTGGGGCCTCCAGCCCCTCCCCGCCTGCCCGCCCGCCTGCCTGCCCGGCCTCTCCCGAGCCCCGTCCCTCAGGCCTCCCCCCTGCGCCCCCACCCAGCATCTTTCGCCCCTGCTCCTCTTCAGAGTGTGGGTGGGGTGTGTGTGTGTGGTATGTGTGTGTGTAGTGTGATGTGTGTTTACGTGTGGTGAGTGGTGTGTGTGGTGTGTGGTGGGTGTGGTATGTGTGGTGTGTATGTTGGAGCGTGTATGTTGGAGTGTGTGTGTGTGTGTGTGTGGTCAGTGGTGTGTGTGTGTTGGAGTGTGTGTGTGTATTCTGTAGCACACATGCCACACCGCGCCCTCCCACACATCCTCCACCCCCAGCGCCTGCCCTGCGCCGTCCTCGGGGTCCTGTCCCGAGGCTGGTGTGAGGCCACCTGCACCTTCCCTGCGGCCGTGACCATGTCGGTGACGGTGTCGCCTGCTCCTCCCAGGCAGAGAAACCGGTGGCGGACCATCCAGTTGCTGCTGCGCCGAGGCGCCGACCCCAACCTGTGCCGTGTGCCCATGCAGGTCCTGTTCCTGGCCGTCAGGGCGGGGGACGTGGACGGGGTGAAGCTGATGCTGGAGCACGGCGCGAGGACAGACATCCGGCTCCCCCCCAAGGTAGGCGCCGGCTGCCCACGGGAGGGAGAGCGCGGCGAGGGAGCACATGCAGACTCCCCGGCCCGCTTGTCCCCAAGCCAGTGGCCGGTAGGCCTCAGAGCGGGGCAGGCGTCCCGCAGACGGGGCCAGCAGGCGCCCGCTGGTGTGGGCACTGGCCTGGCGCCGAGGGGCAGTCCTGTGCGCCCTGCTCTAGGATGTCACCAGTTGGGACTTTGAAACTCTGTTAGTTTTCACACTGTTCCATGGCCAGGAAACTTTCCAAAGTGTCCCCGGGGCTTGAAGCAGACTTGGGAATAGACCCGTGTTTCGGAGGCGGCGGGCCACGTGCAAGGGCCACGTGCCGGGTTGTCGCGGCCCAGATTGCAGAATGGGGGATGGACACAGAAAGAAACACACAGACACACACAAGGACATACAAGACTGCAGTAGACAATTCTACCAGTCGCTTTATTATATACTTTTTCTATGTCCGGCAGCTACTTCCTGGCACGTGACTACCTTGGGTGCCTTGAGGAAAACACATTTTCATTCCTTCCTGACGATTGCTCAAGGGAAGCAGACGTTTGCATCTTAACTTCTTGCATCTTAACTTCTTTATCTCATTACCGTATGCAGGACAATGAGACGCCTTGGCTTGTTTGCAAGACCCCAGGCGCTTGGTTATCTGTCATAAAGCTATCTGTCATGAGGAATAGTTCTGTTTAGTCAACAGGCCAAGCCCAGGCCTATTGACCTCTGGTGCCAAGGAGAGCACACCCAGTTTCGCTGACTCTGGACTTAAGCCAATTTTTGCCCAGGGACAGTCCCTACAAGGGTGGCG